AGTAGTGAGTAAGGAAAAGAAATTAATGGGAATGGGATTGGGAAACGCATCACATCACCTACACTGAACTTGTCGGAGCATGTGCATTAACGGCTCGAGTTCCAGCCATGTTGAGTGGGATGCAGAATTTCAGGTTCTTCATAACATCAGACCTATTAAGCGCCTGTTAAGATCTAACAGACATTTCCGTCCAGGGCAGGGCTAGATTATGGGCCCCGGGGCTCTTGAAATGCCTCCAAAACCTCAATCTGTGTGGTTTGAGACCTCCAAAGGAAGCATATGAAAATGGTTGAAACATCTCTATCTGATGTCCGGTGTTGGGTCTGTGTTCATGATCCCCAGCTGACGACAGAAAATGCCTGTATGATTCTGCACACATGTACTAATGCTAATTAATTAGGTAAATTGGATTGTGGGGAGCATGCAGCTGGGATGACTGGGGCGATTAGGGCAGGAAATGGACACACGCAACACAAATGACCATTACCTCCTTTCTAAATTTACCCAGAAATGACCTCTAATGGCGTTTTTGGGACAGATTCAATAATAATAATAGTCCTCTAAAATTTCACTGGAAAACAACTACAGGGGAAAATAAACGTAAGAGGGCAATTATAACATGCTATATTTGTTTGAACACAAACAAGTTATATTGGTGATTCACTATATTCTTAATAAAGTTATCTTTCTGCCTGATCAAAACGTCTTCACTAGAATTCTTTTTCTTTTTAAATATGCACTTAAGCATTAAAGTGGTTTGCAGACAGATTGACACATCAGCTCTTTAATATATTTTCATATATCTGTTGCTTTTTAACACAATGTTCTTGACAGTTCAGAATTACAACTGAATAAAGGTAAACTATTAAGCACTAAGAAATATTGAAGCAAAACCATTTCCCCAAACTGACTGAATTAAATTCAATATTATAATCTTGTCTTTCTCAATGTAAACAATGAATGGCACTATTACTTTTCGGCATGTGTAAATGTTTCTTATGAAAAGGTTGCATGTACATTAGTCTGTGAACTGTACAAAACTGTAGATGTTACATCTGATCCTGGTCTCCGCTGCCACTGAAAGTCTTTGGGAATGTAGGAAACATGACTCCATACGTGCTGGAACGAGTATATTCACCGTTTCCAAATGCAGAAGAAAAAAATGACCTGCTGACACTTGAACAGCTTGAAGAGATTCATTCACATTTCAAGGTTTGTTGCAAAACAATGTCTGGTGTCTGCTTCTAAAATATGAGTGAAGTAAAGTGAAATGATTAAAGATTTAAAGGGATAGTTCACCCAAAAATGAAAAACCATGCCATTAATTACTCAGCCTGATGTCATCCCAAACCTGTAAGGCCTTTGTTCATTTTCGGAACACAAATGAAGATATTTTTGATGAAATCTGAGAGCTCTCTGACCAGACAGCAACGCAAATGTTCCCATGTTCATCAGTAAAACAGTCCATGTGTACTCTCGATAATGGTGATTTGGAGGAGAATTGTTGAATAAAGTCGTTATTTTGGTTTTATCCCAAGAACTATCCCATTAAGAATTATTCAAGTTATTTTTGTTGATAGCAGCTGTTCAGCTTTTCAGACTAATGGTTTAATCTAAATCATTTTGCAAGTGATTCAAATTCAGTTTGCTGGTCTTACCTGGTTGAAAACACTTTCCTCCAATAGGGGTTATGCGCAACAGACTTCCGTATTCTGTTAACTGGGTCTCGTCGCTTCCGGTTCAAGCATTTTGCATATGCTTCGTTAAATATGAAGCAGTTTTACTCAAGATGCCTTCAAAG